ATGGCACTTTCCAGCCTGCTTCTGAGCCTGGCTGCTCGGGCACTTACGTTTCTCTTCTTTCTGCTCGTCGTTGCGTTTCTTGGCTACTGCTTGTACATTAAATACATTCATATGAAGTATGACCACATCCCCGGGCCGCCGAGGGACAGGTAGGAAAAGTCGTCGGCTGAAGCAGTTATGCGGACATTGCTTGAGAGTAACTCGCTGTTTCCTCCTCAGTTTTTTCTTCGGACACTCACCAACGATGTTGAAGGCGATGAAAAATGACGGAATTATACACGACAAATTTCTGGAGTGGTAAGTTGAGCGCAAACAATGTTTTATGCGGAAAAAACAACACGTCAAACCATTAAGCTAACACAATATGTAGGTCAGTGTTTGGGACTGCTGCCAGCCAATGCTAGCTAGCCTGGCTGTATTGAACTGAATGCAGTTTCCTTTTTCACAGCATATTTTGCTGCTAATTGCCTGTTAATTTCTGCCTGTTAATTTCTGCCTATACAACAAATACATTACAGTTCTTACTGTACTCTTTGTATTACAGTGCTTGCAGAATCTCGTTATTAATATCATACGCCTTTAAAAGGTTTAATTAAGATGTCACCTGCAGGGCCGAGAAGTACGGACCTGTTTACAGGATAAATGTGCTTCACTACGTTTCACTGTGTACGTACTGTCCAGAGGCCACCAAGGTAAACACTTGTCACCTGACTGTTTTCACATCAGTACACAGGTGTCATTAATAAAGGGTCTATTACTGTAAATCTGTGAATTATTGTGATTAGCAGTACCTGTGTATCTCTGCTGTTTCAGTTTAAAATGACTACAGTGCAACAAACCTGTTGTGTGTGAAAGTGCACCCATCAATCCTGTTGGCAGAGGTCCCTGCTAATAAACAGTGCCAGCTACTGGCCTTTTGGGGACTTGTTCACATTTAAAGCCCTCTTCTTCTTCTTCTTTGTCAGACTTTTGTATCATTTTGTTTCTGGTTTCAGGAAATCCTGATGTCCCCAAAGTACCTTAAAGAGAAGTCTACCTATAAAAGACTCTTCAATCTGTTTGGTCAAAGGTGATGTATCACATTATCTGACAGTGTTGGGGTGTAACGGAATACATGTACCGCCGT